CCCCAAAACCCCAAAACCCCAAAACCCCTTCATGGTAAGCTAAATTTGATAAAAAGCGCAATTTTAATTTGAAATAATTATGGACCCGCGATTAGTATGCTTGAATGTAGCTGAGAAACCATCTGTAGCGAAAGGAGTCTCAAATATACTGGCCAATGGAAGGTACAAAACCATAAATGGCCAATCAAAGTACGGAAAATAATTTTATACATAGGTATAATCCAGTTTACAACTTTAATTACGAAGTTGAGGGCAAGAAGTACAATATGAAGTTTACCTCAGTGCTTGGACATGTCATGAGCATTGATTTTCCTGATTCAGTGAGTAACTGGGACAAGACACCCTTTGAGAAACTGTTTACGATCCCAGTCAAAGTCCAGGTATGGCAATTGCCTCATTTATAGTGCATGAATGGGCAAGAGAAGATTGTTAAGAATTTAAAACTCCACAGTAATAATATTGACATGATTATCCTTTGGCTTGATTGAGATCGTGAAGGAGAAGGTATTGCTTTTGAGGTTTTAGACATCTGCAAGAAGATTTCCCCTCGCTGAGTCGTCAAGCGAGCCCATTTTTCAGCAGTCAATAAATACGATATTATGAAAGCTATGGACACTTTGACGAGGCCTGATCGTAATATGGCTGATGCTGTTCAAGCAAGGCAGGAAATAGACTTAAGAATTGGGGCTAGTTTCACTAGATTTCAGTCAATTTATTTTAAATCTATCTTAGGAGTTAGCTCTGGACAGCCAGTTAGTTACGGTCCTTGTCAATTCCCTACCCTTGGATTTGTGGTGGAAAGATACCAGAAGGTAAGGGACTTCGTACCTGAGAAATACTGGTATCTTGATCTTCGGTTGGAGGTTGACGAATATTCAGTGAAATTTCAGTGGGATCGAGGAAAGATTTTTGACAAAGTGATTTGTTTCATAATTTATCAGAAAAGTGTAGAAGCTGGGAAGGCAAAGGTTACCAAGTACCAGACAAGGAAGACTACAAGGAGAAGGCCTCAGCCACTTAATACTATTCAGATGCAGAAGTTGATCTCTTCGCGATTAAAGATCAGTCCGAGTAATGCAATGAAGATTGCTGAGAAGTTATACAACATGGGTTATCTAAGTTATCCAAGAACTGAAACTACACAATTCAAGAAAGGATTTAATCTAAAATAAGCTTGTCCAGAACATTAAAGACAACAGTAGTTGGGGTGACTTCGCCAACAAACTACTTGAAGGAGACATGTATGGAGGGCCTAGAAATGGCTCTAAGGATGATAAAGCCCATCCTCCCATACATCCAGTGAAATTGGCTCATAAGAGTCAACTAGACAATAGCCAGTGGAGAGTCTATGACTTGATCTGCAGGCACTTTTTAGCAGTTGTTTCAAAAGATGCAGTTGGAAATGAAACAACACTTGAGTGCACAGTAGGCGAAGAGTTATTTTCATCCAAAGGGATAACAATTTTACAGAAAAATTACCTCGAAGTTTATCCTTTCGAAAAGTGGGGTGAAAGCATTATCCCTCAATACAAAGTAGGCGAGACTTTTGTGCCAACATCTTACATGATGGAAGAGTCTCAAACCTCTAGTCCAAAGCTACTGACTGAAAGTGACTTAATCTCAATGATGGATAAAAATGGTATTGGGACAGATGCTACTATTCATGAACATATTCAGACGATTCAAGACCGGAAGTATGCTATTAAAGATAAGTCTGAGCTGAAGCCGACTCCTATTGGAGTAAGTTTGGTAGAGATGTACCAGGAAATCAACATTAATCTCCACAAGCCTTCCCTCAGAGCCCAGATGGAGAAGGAGATGACCCTTATTGCTGAAGGAAAGAAGGAAAAGGAAGAAATGCTCAAGTCAGCTATCACTGAAATGGCGAAAATTTTCAAACTTTGAGAGAAATCTAAAAACAAAATGGCTGAAATTCTAAGAGAAAAAATTATTAAATGAAAGAAAGATTCTGGAATAAAGTTTTCAGAAGAAAGTAAGAGGGAGAGCGACACTGGAAATTCGTTCTCTCCGCAGACGAAGAAGCCAGCTTACGAAATACCTAAATAATGACTTACGGAATACAGAATTTTGCACTTGTCCAAAATGTAAAACAGCGAAGATGAGATTCAAGCTTACAAGGAAGAAGAATGTATTCATCTCGTGAAATGGATACCCAAACTGTAACAATATTTTCAACTCCCCGAAAGGGATCGAGAGGTTGCAAATGCTAGACCGGCACTGTGAAAAATGCCAGCGAGAGGGCCGAGGAGAGGTTAACTTATTTAGACTCGAATTCTATACAGATTTCTGTAACGAAAATGTGCAAGAGCTTCTCCCGATGCAGGACAACACAGCAGGGGAATTTTGATGATACTTTGCTTGTGATAAGGACTATGTTAAAATAATTAATGAGTTTTCGAAATATCCTCAAAAGGAATACAGCACTGAGAGTCATAATCCAAATGGAGTTCCATCTTATTACGCTAGAGATGATAGCAAGAAAAGAGTACCTAAAACAAAGAGGAGTGATACAAAGAAAGTTAACAAAGGCAAGAAAAGCAAGAATAAGACCAAGAAGAAAGAGGAGTCAAAAAAAACCGGAAAAAGACAATTTAAGGAATGAGCGCTTTGAGGCAAAAAGAGGCATATGAAAAATTCCAACTGCCCTAATAACAAAAATAGAGCTTAATATCAATCTCACATGTCTATTTTTCAATATTTTCTCTAAAACCAGGGGTTTTGGGGTTTTGGGGTTTTGGGG